GTTTAATGCTTGCCTTTTTTCTCCCATTTCAAGATCATGATTTTTCCAGAAGGAACTTGTACAAATAGGACCTGCCTAATTACCTTCAAACCTGGTATGTAATTTTCTGAATTATTTATTTTTCTCCTGAAGAAAGGGAAAATATTAATGTGATATTTTAAAATCATATTGTGTTAGTAATAAAAATTTCTGCTTTTCTTTTGTATGCTGGGGTTAGAAATATTCCCAAGAAAAGACAAAATAAACTTAGGGATTTGAGTCGAGGACTGTAGTGTTTGCAGGAGGAGGAAGTAGTTAGGTTTCAAGCGTTGATAGTGACGTGGAGATGTTCACCTTTGCTTTGAGGTCCAGGTTAGTGCATGTCCTAGTCTGGAAGAGGACTCTTCGCCTTTTGAAAGGGCTCAAGGTGACCTGGGGTCTGGCAGATTCCGACTCCTCTGAGCGATGCCTTCCTGGTCTGCAGTTTGCTCCCGACGGGGCCCTGGGAGTCCCAGGTGCAGAGCCCTGCAAGCCGTCCTCAGAGCCCCTGGCAGACGGTGCTTTTTCTCCCTGGATGGGGACACAAAATATATGTGAACCGGGATCTATCCTGCAGCAGCTGCCAGGTGATTTTGGAAGCGTTGCGTTGGGTAGGGTGGGGCAGATCCACTGTTCTGAACTTCTGTGCTGAATTTGCTTGGAATTTTCACACCCTTGGACATTTGGTAGAGGGTTTACCCTCGATNCAGAGCCCCTGGCAGACGGTGCTTTTTCTCCCTGGATGGGGACACAAAATATATGTGAACCGGGATCTATCCTGCAGCAGCTGCCAGGTGATTTTGGAAGCGTTGCGTTGGGTAGGGTGGGGCAGATCCACTGTTCTGAACTTCAGTGCTGAATTTGCTTGGAATTTTCACACCCTTGGACATTTGGTAGAGGGTTTACCCTCGATCCTGTAGTATCTCTGTACTTTTAGATGGCGGGTGGTTCTTGTAAACTGTGTTTACACTGGGGCGTGTATACCAGTTCCCACAGGGGGTGTCACGCCATGACCTGGGCAGTGTGGTCTGCCCTGCCTTGGGGTTGCACAGCTCAAGGTGTCTCTAGGCTGGATGGAGAGCTGGATGGAGGAAGTCCAGAGTCGGTTGCCCACCAGTGCCACACGTGGTTTCTGCCACACGTGGCTGTACCACAGCTGTGCCCTTCCACCACCTAATGGTGCAGAGGATGGGTGGCAGGCTTCACAAGCAAAGACTGACACATGGTGAAGTGGAAAGCACTGGATCTTAAACGTGTCATTGTCTTCACGACATGTTGTTCTGAGTTTTCATCACAACCAGAGACACATCCAGCTATGGAGGTTCTGGTGACCAAGAGGATGAGCCTGTGCCCACAATGGGACAGCCTCAGTGAGGGCCGACAGTGAGCCATGTCCCCACGCCTCGGACAGAGGACATCCCACAACTGAGTTCCAGGTCTCACTCCACAGTGGGTATGCGTGAGGGGACAGATGCTGGCTGGCCACTTCTCAGGGGCAGGCGGCCCTGGGTCATGGAAACCTTGTGCCTGAGTCAAGGCTCCTTGGGGAGCGGCCATCAGCCCCAGTCCTGGAGACAGCTGGTCCTCAAGAGCTGAACAAGAAGGAATTTAGGATAAAGAGGGGCGTGTAGGGCAGCACCTTCAGGAAGATCACGTGCAGCACGTAAAGGGGAGGAAAGCCATGTGTGGTGAGCCCCGTGCACAGGCGCCTGGCGAGAAAATAACACGTGGCTCTCAGTGAAGATAGCCGGCTTGTCCCCCAGACAGAGTGGAACAGGGTCCAGGGAGATGGTGGGCTCTGATCCCATCCCCCAAGGGGCTCAAGGTCCGGGACGAGGCTCTATTTTTAGCGAGTCCAGCCGTGAGTAGCCACAGTGAATCACCATTAGAGATGAGGCTCGGCGCCATCGAGAACACGGGTTTTCATGCTGCACCAGCTCCCTTGCCTTGGGTCACGTGTTCCAGGATGGGTCAGGACACTCAGCTTTGCAGGGTTGAGGAGTCACGCCTGAGACAGGCCCGTGCAAGGTGCTGCCCCCTCTGACCAAAGGACCCAATCCCAGCTGGGCCCCAGCTGGTGGCCCCGAGCTAGGCCGTGCCAGCCTCATGGCTGACCGTGTGGCCCGAAGGCCACCTCGCGCGGACAAACTCGTGGTGGACATGGCTCTCCTCGGGGTGACGGGCCCTGGGCCTCTTGAAGCCCCTCACCCCTCACCTGCCCACTGTAGCCGGCCCTGCGGAAGGCGACCCTGAGCCCTGAGAGCTGAACAGAGCGAGGAGGCATGGGTGCTCGGGTCACCGCCCGGGCCTGGGAGAGGCGCTGCCGGGGTGTGGAGAAAGATGCTCCCGTGGGGACGTGGCTCTCCTGGGGTGACAGGTGGACTGTTGCTCCCAGCAGGGAGAGCTGTGGGACTGTCTGGTGAGAATAAGGGGTGACGGACTTCTGGGGGCTGCCAGGGGCTCTGCTCAGCATCTTGTCCCACCTCGGTTGTTGTGACTGGTGAGATTAGAGCTTCACCCAGCACAGGGCGTCCGAGCAAATGAACGTGAGGGTCTCTGTGGGGTTAACAAGGTTCTGGCCCCACCCCTCATCTGTGGACCCTACCCGGAGGCCCCGGGTTTGGGCTCCCTCCCCACCGGTCTTTCCCTGCTCGACCCCTCCATGTGTGTCAGAACACGCCATGGCCCACCCTGGTGTGCAGGGCTGGCAGAGTCCAGGTGCCATGGCCCTCCTGCGACCCCTGGAGAGAGCTCAGACTGGGGCTTCCCGAGGGGAATCCCGTGGGGTCTCTGGTCCCTGTGGTGGGTCACCCAGGGACTCAGGAAGGGGACCTGCCCCTTACCAGAGGGGCTTCTCACGGGGAGGCTGAGCCGGCTGAGGAGGCGGGCTCACTCTGCATCTCTCTTGCCTTCACGCGATGCACACGTTCAAAGCATGTGGTGCCTCCAAGTCCCAAGGCTGGAAACGCATGGAAGGCTCTTTCTCGGTTACTACTGAGTTTTGATGATGTTGCTGTGACACGTAGTCAAGGGGATCAGCCGAGCTGTGGTGGAAAACACCGCTGCTGTCTGCAGCTGGTTGTGGCGCCTCACATGAGGTCCCACGCCCAGCGCCGCCAGGTGAGGACTGAGGCCGGCATCACAAGTCCGAGGCAGCCAGCCTCAGCGCCAGGTGTGGTTGCAGGGGTCTGCACCAACCCTGCCCATCCCCCCACCTCTCCTGGCACATGGCCAACCCTCCACCAAGGCACACAGAAGTGCCTCGTGCCGCCGAGCCCACGGTGAGAAAGAGGCAGTGTTGACGCAGAGGGAAGCCGGCTCACGGGCCACGGAGGTCACAGCTGGACACGGGAACTGCAGGTGGATGTCCTGTGTGAGGCAAAATCTGAGCGGGTTGGGCTGTCACTCAGAGATGCAGGCCTGATGCCACTCCCTGGCCTCGGGCCACCAGGGAAGGAGAAAGCCTTAGGGACAGGAGCCACTGGCGGCCCCACCTGCAGATTTGGGCCTAATTCTCCCAGAGAAGTGCGGAAGCCCCAAGCCAGAACCAACCCCAAATTCCTGACCTGATGAATGGAAGACCCCATGGAGGCAACCAGAAAACTGCCCCTGAGGACCCCTCCCCAGCCCAGGTGGGTGCAGACCCCCCAGGCGGGCACCACAGCCCAGGGAGAAGGCTGCTCCATGGCCGTGCTGTGTCCCCCTTGAAACATGCATCCATGCTGTAAAATCTGGGCACTCCTGACACCTACGTTTTCCAGTTAAATTTTTGTGAAAGCCTTTAAATAGAACTTAAAACAGAAGTAGAACTCCACAAAACAACCCTGGCCTTTGCTGCCAGCCCGCAGCAGCACGACGTCCAGCCCATGTAGAAGCAGGGCGTGACCTGCGGTAGCGTCCTCCATTCCAGCGGGGACTGGGAAGTTCCTGAGGCCCCTTGGCTGGTGGTTCTAATGTGGTGGGGGCTTCTCCCGATTCCTCAGGAGCCGTCAGATGGCAGCTGCTCGGAGGGAGAGGTGGGTCCAGCCCTGGGCAGCCGAGGCGTTGGGTGGAGGCCGATGTACATGCCCTGCGGGATCAGACCTTATCCCTGCCAGATGGATAGTGTGGCAGGTGATGGGGACCCCCAAGGTGCAGGCGTGCAGGGTAACCCTCACCTCCTATGCATGCCTTGCAGCTGGCACACGTGTTTAGAAAGTGCTCCTCAGTCCGGAAGCACTTCTGCACCCATATCTCATGCCCAGTTGGTGCTGACGCTGGAGTTTTATCTGAGGGTCTATAGTTGGTCAGGTGTGAAGATCAGGCATCAAGAGACTTTGTAGGCCAGCGAGGCCGAGGCAGAAAAGCTCACTCGTTCCGAGATCAGCAGCAGAAACGCAGGCAAGGACTTGCCCTCACTGCATTCGGTCCCCGCTGCCACGGACATAACACTTCTGTTCCTTTTGTCGTAGGTGCATTTATCCCGGGAGTTCCCGTCCAGCCTGTGGTCTTACGATATCCAAATAAACTGGTAAGTTGTGCCTTCCTGGGGTCAGTATTAAGGCGGGTCAGCTGGGAGTGAGAGCCAGGGTGTTTTAATGCAGCCTTGCCATTGCTCTGCGTCTCTTGACTACACCATGGCAGTGGCCGAGTGTGCTGGGTCCGTCACACCAGCCTCAGCCCTGGGGACGAGAGGACGGGCCCAGCCCGTGGGCTTGGCACACAAATGTGGGTCTGTTCTACGTGAGTTTCTCATAAACCCCACAATTCCAGAATAGTCCACAATATGTGCCCACACAAATCTGGCTTTCGTGGGTCAGGCAGCAGTGCTCCCTGGGGCTGACGTTTTTGGTGACAGACACCCCGCAAGTCCTCAGCAGCTCGCCATGTGCAGTTCACACTCCAGGCAACTTAAAACGAGAACATACATGCTCTGGAGAGTTGGAGGCAGCAGAAGGGAAGGATGTAAGTGACATGGTGGCCTGCATTTTCTGTGCCCCACCTGCTGCACATCTTTACAATTTTGAGAAGGAAATGAAGGGGCAGCAGGAGCTCAGGGTTCCCAGGGTGATCTCAGAGGACCCTAGCCCGGGACTGAGCCTGGATGAGGTTCTGGCGCACTCTGAGGCTGCCCGCCCAGCCTGCATTCCCCACGGTGTGGCCACCAGTGCTGCCCTCCCCCCAGCCGTGCTCACCCTCTGCTGTCATCACTGTGGGAGAGGGACTCTGGCAGCAGAAAGACACGCCTGAGTCCCTTGGCCCTGACTCAGCGCCAGGCACAGTGTTGCATCCCATGGTGGAGCTGACTTCAGGATCGCAGTGGGTCGGGTCTGTTTGTTACAGCGAACTGTCTCTCCGTTCATAGCATTTGGTCTTTATGGCAGCAAAGGGCAGTTTATTGGAAGGAAAAGCACAAGGGTCACGACCCGGGTGGGGGCACATGTGGCAGGAACGCAGGTGGCGGCAGTGGGCACGCAGTGCAGGGCCAGGCCTGCGGGATGGCGCGGTTCGTACACAGCCCCTGTGCCTGTGGGGTCTGTTCCACCGAGAGTGCAGCGGCTGTGGGGAGCGCAGCCGGGCTGTCTGAGCAGCCAGGCAGTGCGCCGTGGTCATGGCCTATAGCCAAGGCCACTGCCAGCGGGGACCTCTGGCCACTGTGCAGGACCGAGCGTGCTCGCTAGCCTGTGTCCTGACACAGTGCCCTCCCTGCCTCTGCCACAAAAACCACTCCGAGTGCATCTCCCTGAGTGCCGAGAGTAGGAGGCTCTGTCATGTGGTGTGGAGTCCTAGGTGGTCACTTAAGCCAGCAGTCGTTTGAAGCAGGTGCCTCTGCTATGCCCTCCCGGGAGCACCCAGCGTGGTTGTTGGAGGCAGGATGTGTGTCCCGTGTACGTCTCATGAGTGCCCGGTTCCCTCGGCTGCGGAGCTGCAGGAGGAGCCTCCCATGCCCCCAGGCTGGAGCACAGACCTGCACAGGAGCGCCAGGCTACAGGGGGCAGGGACATCAGTTCTGCAGGCTTCAGAACAATGAAACCTCGTGTGAAGAGACTGGAGTCAGGGCAGTACCGGGCATCTGTCGTCTTGCATCCCCAGTCAGGTGGTTGGTGTGGTGCTGAGGCTGAGGATGGAGAGCTTCCAGAACATTCCCCTGGGTGGATGTGGGAGGGAGGGAGCTGAGGCCCTGAAGTGGGAGGGGGTGGTCAGCAGCAGAGATCTCTTCTGCGCCCTCCCACGCCTGGGGCTGACCTGGTGGGAGCGTGTCCACAGTGGAGAGCTGTGGCTTGGATGTTTGGGGCACAGGTGGGTGGCAGTTGAAAGGCTGCCAACAGCGTTGCACGGTCAGGTGACAGGGCAGGACAGGTGTCACAGGCTCTGCCCATGGCAGCTGCATGAGTGCATCTGAGGGTGCAGGCGGACACAGCAGGCTCCTGTGTCATTGCTGAAGTTCACCAGGGACACCTCGAGGAAGCGGAGGACAGAAAAAGGGACCAGGGCTGCTCTCAGGTGGACGTGGGAATTGGAGACCTTGTGGCTGTGATGGAGGGGAGGAGCATTTCTTGGTGGGGGCCTGGGTCCTCGGGCTCTGGGGACCTGAGCACCCTCCTTGTGCCTACCCCAGAGTAAACTTGGGAGGAAGCAAGAGGCCCGGCTCCTGTGCAGGGCCTGCGGGGGCAGGGCGAGGGCGGCACACGTGTCCCCTGACCCCTCCCTGCTCAGCCCCGCTCCCTTCTCACCCCCAGGACACCATCACGTGGACGTGGCAAGGACCCGGAGCGTAAGTCGGACACCGTACAGTCTTGTGTTTGTCCTGTCATTCATGAAGGCGTGGGGGCTACAGGGACAGCTGTGTGCTCTAGTCACTTTACAAATGTGAAACTGCCGTTAGGTCCAGCCCATTGTGAAACTAAACGTGCAAACGTGGGCCTGTCCACATGCTCCTGGATTCCGGGCCTTGTGCGCATTGTCTTCAGCGCCAGCAGGAAGGTAACCACGAGGTCCCCTCTTGCCGTCTCATGTTTGCCAGCTCAGTAACTACCCTGTCCACCTGCTGGCCTCTGGTAAAGAAAGAGATTCAGTGTTCAGGGGGCAGCCCCGGCTGTAGTCAGCATCCCGACCCCTGGAACAGACACTCGAGATCAGTTATGCCATGATGAGCCACCCCACGGGATAGGAAAGGAGCTGCCAGGGGGAAGCACAGGGTATCGGGCATGTCGGGGCATCCAGGGTGCTGGTGTTTGAGCTGATATTTGGAGGTCAGAGGGTGGGAGGCAGGGGTGAGGACTGTGAGGGAACAGGTCTGTCCCAGTGACTTCAGGAAGAAGTGGGTCTGGACACTGGGAGCCCCCCAGGCCTTGCTGAGGTGACTGGAGCAGGACCCTGGCAGCTGCCATGAGGGGCAGCACTGGGCTGGGTTTGGAGGTTGGTGGGCTGTGAGCAGCGAGGTGAGCACTGGGAAGGGCTCCTGGGCATCCTGGTGGCCCGCACTTGGGGCAGACAGGGCAGGAGAGAGTCAGGAGGTGGACCGTCCCGCACAAAGGGGGCAAATTGGGCCCAAGGACAGGGGACTCTGCATGGCTCCCCAGATCTGACTCCTGCAGGTGAGAGGGTTGTGACGCTGGTTCTAAGGTTGGGAAGTCCAGGAGCCAGGTTGGGGAGCGGAGTCCTGTAGACAAGGTTTTCTGAGCTGGGAGGCAAACCTGGGAGACAATGGCTTGCTGGACCAACCAGAGACAGACACAGGCACTTATGAAAAGTGAAAACTGCTACTTCCTAAAAGTCACCTGTTCATCATCCTCGGGTTGCAACCTTTCGATTTGGGCCGAGGAAGGCTCAGAGTCCCCTCCTGAAGGACGACAACTCCCGAGAAGTGCCCTCTGGGGGGGGGGGGGGGGGGG